GGAAGATATGAAGCTTAACTTGTTCTGCGGCCGTCTGTTAAGTGGGCATAATTGCAAAAGAATGAGTTGAGTTTTTGGAAAATACAAATTTCTCTGAAGTACAATAAAAAAGACTGCTTGTGAAAGTAGCTTAAGGGAATAAGTTCTTGCTATAAGTACGTTCACTTCAGAAGAACTCATTCAGGCTTGTGTTTACTCTGCGAGTTTTATTTATTTGCAACCACGTGTATCGTTTTCAAAAAAAAATTCAACATTGCATTATTGTCGCGATGCTGAGTACCTAAAAGGAGAACCCATATATTTACATGTAAATACATTGAGATTGTACCGAAGTATATTATAGTGCTCCTTTTCAGAAATACCAATAGAAAGGTGCTTGAGTTAAATACACCTACTGCAAATATCTTTGAAGATTTGATTCCCATTTTTTAAGGTCGAAACTCTTGAAGATTCGCATAAACATTGCCTTCAATAAGCTCAAATCAATCATACATTAATCATAATTCTCTTTGTTTTGTGAGCGAAAGGCGAATATGGGAATTTCTGCAATAATTGATACAGCAAGTTAGGCCATTTTATTCTAGCAAGAATATAATCTTTTGAAGCTTTTATAAAAATTGAACTGTTCACTCTTAGATACATTTGTGAAAAGACGAGCAGCTTTCCATTTTGTCCCTTCTATTTTATCAAGATAAGGGGCATGTAGTATGTAGCTTTTATAACGAGACTACCATACTATCTACTGCACTCGTAAAAAGGCTAAAGGGCCATGAAGGTAAGTAATGGTTACCTATGAAGCCATTGTATGCGTTTTTTGCTTAAAAGGTTCCCCTTTTGATTTTCATCAAATCAAAGATGTTCTAGACCGAATTTTGTGCTTTCTTGCTATGTTCTATGGGATAAATGTTGGAACGAAGTGTTCCTTTGACATAAACTACACATCTAAGTCATGTTATCTAAATTTGAGTTCTCAAATTTCATTTTAGAGAATTCAGAATACAAGTACTCATACAAATTCCAAATTCTTTGAACTTTATATGAGTACTTGTATCCCACTGTACGATGAAAACATCTCATGCTAGTACGAATTCACGAGAATATTTATGGAAACCCCAAACAAAGTTGTTCTTTGTAGGGAATAGGATCGCTGATGAGCACGTTATTGTCACGATGGCTACTACTGTCTTCACAGAGCCGCTGCTATAAGAGCATTCTTGGGTGGAACA